GAATGCTGCCATAATCCTTGTTTTCATTTCATTTTTGGTGTTACAAGGTAAGAAGTTTTTCTGACCTCTCTCTCAACTTCGTCCACAAATAATAATCAAAGGATTACAGTCTGAGGAGTTAGGTGGCCAGATGTAAGGGTTGATTTGGTCGCAGAAATTGTCTGACACCCTTTATTTGGTTCTCCTGCTAGTGTGGCATGATGCAAAGGCCAGTTTCCGCACATAGGATCTTCCAGCAGCCACCCTCTTTGACCCAGGCTAGCACAACCTCCTCAAGGCACTTGATGTAGGCGTCCGTGTTGAGGCCCTCACCAAAAATTACAGGGGTTCTTTTCTTATCAGAAAGATCAGAGTGAGTTTTTCGAGCTGCCGTACCTTCGTAATCAACATTAGACTCATCCAACTCATCGAACTATATATATATATATAATGTTTATACATTCTTTTTATGGATACAAATATTTAAGTAAATGCTCTGTTTACAATAAACAGTATTAAACAACATATACCGGCCTGAATATCCGAGAAATTTCCACAGAAAATATTCGTCCTCCGAATTGTTGGGCTTTGTCCATTTCATAATGTGACGTCATATATCATATATATATATATATATATATATATATATATATATATATATATATATATATATATACCTTTAACAATAGTTATATTTATGATGGCTGAGTTTCCAGGCCTTTTTATGTATGATCTAACAATGGCTTGAGGCGTCAAACTGGCTTCCAGTGTTGATTTCTGTGTCGACGCTCAGACATTCACACACACACTTTATTTCTCTCCGTCTTTCTCTCTTTCACTCTCTCTCTCTCTCTCTCTCTCTCTCTCTCTCTCCCATATATATATATATATATATATATATATATATATATATATATATCCCTTCAGGGTCCATGCTTTCCAGCCAACTTCAAACAGCAAAATTTAAACTGAATGTTGAGCCGTACTTAATATCTTCCTGATCAGTCTTTTCTCTTTCTGCTCATTATTAATGTTTCTGCTCCTAATACTTCCACACCTTGTAACTCTTGAGTCTTAGGAGCTTTCCTGCCTTGCATGGCAGAATACCGATTAAAAAATACTTTAATATAAATGTATTTATATATATATATATATATATATATATATATGTCTGTGTGTGTATGTGTGTGTGTGTGTGAGTGTGTGTTTATGGACATGTATGAGGGTTTACCTTACCTGCATATGCTGATTTTGTTTTGACAGTCTACAGACAGACACAAATGCTAATATTGTGACCAAACTATCAAAATAAATAATTCTAAGGCTTTTTCTTTTTATTTACTTTTCACTTACAAACCTCATATGTCAAGGTATTTCTCTTAATGGAACTTGTTTCATTTTTGTCTCTGCATAAACAATTTAGCAAATGATTACACAACCTAGTAAATATTCAAAAGCTACTACCTTTGAAATAACGATATGCAAATCCTTCCCTGTAAACATTACTTATCTGTCGAACTAGGCGTATTTATACCTTTCTAAAGACAACTGAGTCAACGAAACCCCTAGATTTTTGAAGAAAACTTTGAATTGATTGTACATCTGCGCCATCTATCAGTAAATAATTAAAAACCAATAGGCCAACTTACATGGGATTACGAAGTGATTTTTTTTAAATTTATCCACCATTTTTCTTTCTTTCTTTTTTTTTTATATCGGCTGCTTTGATTTTAAAAGGCTTTTGTACAGGTTTTGTAGTGACGTCTACTTATTTCATTGTTCTATTTCCACATTTGTAGCTTTTTAGCTTCATTATTTCCCTTCGATATTTTTCTCTTCTTTTCCGTCTACTATTCTCACTTAGCTGCAGTTTTACTTTTTATCATCATTTTTTTTATCTTGCTTATTCCTACTTACTGTATCCGATTTCTTCTGTCCGCCATTCTTTTTTCTTATTCACTTTCTGATAATTATTTCTTGTTTTTACTTTCTTTATAAGTTCGAATTTTTCCTTTTTTTTATTTGACGTTCTTCGTCATTTGGACCCAACCACTTCGGGTGGCCTTCACCTTTCCCACCTCTCCCTGAATTTTGTCGCTTCTGCCTCTCTTTCAAACGATCTCTTCGTCTATACACACACACACACACACACACACACACACACACACACACACACACTTTATCTCCCTGTGGCCTTTTTTTCTTTTTAGCGAATAGAGGAATGATCTGAGTGAAGGCGCAAGCAGTTTTTATTAATATTATTTCTATGCTCTCCAACTGTCTATCTCAATGAGTCTCCCATACATCTGCTATCGAAGCAGAAACGAAGAACGCTTTCCTCTTCAGCATAGTACTTAGAGAAGATAATGAGATGAGCCTCTGTTGTTAGCCGGGGCTGCGTTTACGCTTAATGACTGTCTCGTGCCGGGAGTGGCTGGTCATTCAATGTTCAGTGCTACCATTTGAATATTCACTTTGCGATCTCACTTCCGACCATCGATCCCGACACACAGTCGGAAGGAAAACGCTCACAAACCCGAACATCTCGCTTTCCAAGTGTATACTGACATTTACGTAATATTATATAAACTTACGTCAGATACTAACCGGAAATAAAGCAGAGGGAAATGGAGCATGTTTAAAAATAGTTTCAATATTTTAAGAAACTTTAACAGAATCTGTCAAGTGAGATGAATCGAGTCATTTCTCATTATTTGAGCGTGATTTTTTTTTTTTTTTGAGCCGCTGGAAGTGTTTGTGTTTCATATGATTAAAAGGGACAAATAATCTATATATAAAATACGGACACTTCTCTGTCCGTCCGTCACACTCTCTAAATAGCAATCGAAACCAAATTTTGAAGAGAAGTTCAAACAAGTAAAGGAGTACAAAGTACAGTTGTTCTTATAAGGGTGCGTAGCTTAGTAAAATAGATTCATTGCTGTTTTTTTTTTCAAAGGATTTATTATTTAGCACACAAAATAGGCCAACTACTTTAAAAACAATGATTGAAATAACAATACTTATCTAATAGAAATGCAATATTGTTTTTTTGCATATCTTTTCTTTAAGGTTTTATATACAAGAATCCAGTTTCCAGTACCGCTTGTGTTTGCGAGAACTATAAACAAATCCGGAGGCTAAACGCTTCAAAATTTAGAATTTGGCTACAGAAAGAAATATTTACATGGCCAGTTGTATGTTACATGCTCAAGAGTAAGAAATCCTAATAATGTATTTATCTCTGTTAAAAAGGAAAAAATAAATTTTCTTTAAAAATATTTTTTATCATGAAATCCTATAAAATTAAATTAATTTTGAAGTATTATTAACCCGTGAAGTAAGGTTTTTTTTTGTTAATGGATTTTTCCAAACAAATCAGCTTATTCAAATTTCATCGATTGATTTGCGAAATTGAATGAAACGTAGAGTTAGTAAATCTCGATTAAAAATGATAATGATTACTTCAACAACACTAAATAATATGAGGATTTCAACCCGTCATCGTGTTGGCAGAAAATTCTAAGTAAAAATGCTCGGAGAATTTAACACTTCCAGGACGTGATAATGACAGAAAACACTGAGGGAAACAGCGAATTTGTATAAATGAATACCAGAAGGGAGACAAAGATGGATGGTAAAATCAAATATTGTTCAGAGTAACAAGGTATACGAAGTTGTGGAGAGCCATGACCGTCAACGTCTTGAAGGACATTGGCATATAAAAGAAGTAAACAGCGAATTTACTTGGACAACAGCAGGTCTCCTTGAAAACTCCAATATGTTTCTCAGTTTTTAAACAAATATATTTGTATGCTGTTTGTTTTTTTACTAATGTTCACCAAATACAAGAGCCACTCAATGTAGAAGGATACTGTGTGGAGTTACATTGATGTTCTAAGCGCAGCTTAGATGTGGCACAAGGCCGAAAGTATGGAGCACCCAATGAGAATCGAACTCATTACTCAGTCGCAAATGATCTAGCAAGACAAGCTTCCTAGTCATTACACCACATCGAGGTGCCCTATTGCATGGAGTTATATTAGTGAAGGAAATCCAAGCTTTAGGATCATGGTGTTGAAGTAGACTTTGAACCGGAAATCCAATCCTAAACCGGAAACAAGGTATAAACCCCGACTTCTTTTCAAAAAACCGAGGAGGTGTGTTATAATGATGTCTTCTGGATGATGTTGATACTTTTATGGATTTTCACTACTATTTTCGTTGCAGGAGTTGATATGACATAAATTAAATGTACCGAAACTGCCGTATACAATATTTACAACAGTAGCATATCCATACAAGATGTCCGCCGGTTGGCGCTGAAATATTAATGAGAGAAAGTCTCTTTAAATTATCAATACCTTCATCAGTGTCCACGCAGTTTCCAACTTTCACGTGATCTAACCCATGTCGCTCTTCACATAATCACTTTCTTTTCATCTCATCTCATTCAGTGTTAAATGTCCTTAGAGTCTTAAGGATTACAATAGGGAGAAATATATACTGGTTTCACTTAATTTTTAATTTTTTTATATTAGACCAACCTTGGTTTAACACGCCATACTTTTAAGTAAAATATTTATTAACAGTATTTAAAAATTTCCATGTTTAAGAAATACCTGAGTAAGAGTTATGTCCCTTTAAATCATGTCGTCGAATATCAGTAATACGACAAATGGGAGTGAAAAAATAATAAAGAAAAGAGAAGTAATGAATATTGACATGAACCCATTAATTCCTACCGACGCATATTTTGACAATGGCCATTAATGGGTGATAGGTTGAAAACTATAATTAATAGCGCAAATTTAAAATCTACAATTAATATTGGAATAAAAAAAATCTATGACTAACGCCATATTTTTTTAGAAACGTATAATTATTGTCGGATTTTTATTTTCCAAATTAATCCCAAATTTTACAGTGGACATTTATGGATTAAAGATAACATAATTAAAGTTAAAAGAAAGTTAAAAGTTAAAAGAAAGATTGAATTTAATCAGTCCACATTGACAGAATCAAGACTCAAAAAAAGTAAAAAGAGAGTGATAAAGAAGCCAGTTCTCCTGGCCGGGGTCGCCGCCGACTGCCACGGAACTCTCTTCAATGCGACACTGATTGTAGGCATCTCCTGTATTAGATTCACCAACCGCCTGAGAATGCGAAACTGAAGAAGGAGACCCACATAAATATTCTTTTGCGAAACTAACTTATAAGTAAATCACTAATATATTAAATTATGCTGTCAAGTGTAATTTAAATTTAGAATGAAATGTAGATAGAAATATACTATTTGAATGACAAGAGGAATAAATTAAGGTGGAAATTTCCCTTGCAAAACACACACACACACACACACACACACACACACACACACACACACACACACACACACACATATATATATATATATATATATATATATATATATATATATATATTATATTTCCCATCAGCCCTCAGTCGTGCGCATATGTAGCCCTACCGGCATAACAAATTTAGTCCGATGAAGTCCTGAAGGACGAAACGCGTCACAAGTAAACTTTTCCATAGACACGAATTAACGGTTTTTTGTAGGCATCATCAGATTTTTGGTTTGAAAAAAAAAAAAAAAAAAATTATATAACTTGTTTAACAAATAACCCAATCATCAGATTCATAGTAGAAATTATTAACTACAAACTTGCATACAACATAACACCCTTCATAATACATAGCCCAAATTAGTAGTTTAAATACCTTACCTAAAAGATAACCCTTTATGAAGTCGTCAAAAAACAAACGCCACGAAAGTTTTCCTTTTATAAGCACAATTCCCTTTCATAATAAAATAAAATAAAATAAATAAATAAATCTCCATAGACAAGCCAACTTGACGAAAGCTTAATACATCTTCGTTTCTTTTTTAACACCCCCACCTTCCCCCGACTTGACACCTTGAAAGTATCTCTATACCGCCACTCATCATTAACACCCTACACTCGCCTACCCATTTTAGACAATCCGCCCTAACTGTTACCATGGTGATTTTGATTTCAACTTTTAAAACAAGTAAATTTCAGATATACGTTATTCCAACAAAAAATTCGCTTGAAGATGGAACGGAGCCCTTTTTAATTTCAACTCAATTTAATTTAAAGGATTATATTGAAGTTTTCGGCTCTTGTTTTGAAACATGAGACCTCTTATGTAGCGATTTGGAATCATATTTTTAAAATTAAATATATATATATATATATATATATATATATATATATATATATATATATATACACACACAAAGTGGATGACAAAAGTATTTTTCATGTTTTATTATTTTATTATTTAGCTAACCTCTGAAAGTTCAATATATATTTTTTTAAATCAGAAAATTTTCGATTGCACCTGCAACGTTTGACATTACGTCAAACTGTATCGTATTTTTTTGACTAAACTAAGTTTTCAAATCCAGCTGATGTTAATGATCTCAGCCCTAGAAACATCAATTCTTTGACTGTGCTGTCTGATAAAGATCTTTTACATTTTTTCCACACATGAGTCTATCTCCCATTTTGGTCAAAGAATATCTAATAAAAGAGTGAGTGGTACGTAGCTGAAAAAATAAATTTTCCCCTTTGTTAGTGCGTTAATATATAAATGTATATACGAAAATATAAAATGAAATATATTAGATGATGATGTAGAGGAATGTGAGGGGGAGGAGAAGAGGAGGAAGGTTTTTATTTTTGCTGCACAGGACCAAATGCTTGCTAATTAGAAATTACCAAATACACATACCGAAAAGGTGAGTTTGCCCAAAATTCAGATTCTCTGATAAATATCCAGAAACAACTGACCCCCTTGTATAAGATTGCACGGTATTGGCACCCACTGAATATAAAGCCAGGCATAGAGAATGGATCAATATCCGCATTGGAAAATATGCAATATTTTCTGTAAGGAAACTGTAAGAAATTGGTATGAAGACCACCCGCGCACGAGATTTGCGTTAACCCCCACCACCACTGAGTCAGGTTGTGACACAAGGTCGGTTTTTAACGTAGGGACCTAGATTTTTCAGTCGGGTCGCTAGTCTAAACTGGTCTTAGCTTGGCTAAGCTGGTCAAAGCTGGTATTTGCTGGTCATAGCTTGTCTATGTTGGTCAGAGCTCGTCTGAGCTAGTCATAGCCGGTCATACCACCGCTAGGTAACAGATGTCACTCAACAGTGGAGGGACGCAACGGTGGAGGCACGCAAGGGAGAAGAGTAAGCTTGCAACACAGAACAGATACTACAACTGCATCATCTACTCCGATGAGAAAAAAATCTTCTCCTCTTCTGCCAATTCCCCCCTAAAGAATCCGGAAGCCCTACCCACTCAGACCCGTTTACACACCTGAACCTGAACAATTTTATGGGACATTATTGCATCTTTTACATTTGCTAGGTTATACCAATTCTAGCTTACGACTGTAGGTTTATGTGTGCAGATAGCCGCTCGGAACGTGATAATCGAAAAACTGAGTTCGAATTCTAGTAGAACTCATGGCATTCTCTTATATGGTAATGTACTTGGGAAACGAGATAAATAGTAGAGTAAACTAAGCTTGTCAGCCTTGACTGAAGAGAAGGACAACTCTCAATTCTAAAAGCCTGATGTAATCCAGGCGAACATTGTGGATGATTTTAGTTTTAAAGGTCATTGTGAAATTTAAAATAACTTTCAATAGCTTAAAAGATCAACGTATTTATTTTTATTATTAGTTCCAGCTATGGTTTCGTCTGCTGTGTTTACTTCGGCACTCTGTCCCCTGAGAAAGTAACGTCCTTATCTCTTTTCCGATCTTCTACTGGTTAAATGGGAGTGTAGCGATTTTTTGTTTTGTTCTTTTATTTATCAGTCTATTTCCAACTATATGTATACAATTCTCTTACATTCAATTCCATTCGCCTCTCGAAGCTTCTTGACATTTTCTATCTATTCCTCTTTCTTGATCGTTTTTATGACAGTCTAAAGCATGCAACACAAATAATTATATCCGCTGTAATCTAGCACCTATGACACAAGTAATGGACGTGTCAGTTAGTCTAACGACATCTATTCTTCGTTCAGATGGGTACACACAGTCCGCAGGTCATCTTGAGTGTTTATAATTACACATAAAGCAGATGAAAGTGTGGGTTGCGTGACCGTTATCAGCGCAAAAATTGGAACCGGTGAGTTCAAATTCAGGCCTAGTCAGTTGTATTCACTTTCTTAATAATACCTTTGGGAAAACCATGAATTCTATCTCTTTGCCGGCTATGGACTGAATAAAAGAGTAGAGTGAACTTCCGAGCCTTGTATGCCGGTCTTGTCTAGTAGAACAATTGTGAATTCAAAACTAACTGATTCCCCACATCCATATTTCTTCAGAACTTCGGTGGTCATCGCTTCCAACATATTCTTTTCCCTTATTACTGGTAAATTGCCATGACCTTTTGGGAAGGATAGGGAATTAGTTTCCCGCTAGTTTTGTATTCACAATTGTTCTACTTGACAAGACCGGCATACAAGGCTCGGAAGTTCAGTCTACTCTATTATTCAGTCCATAAAGGTCAAAGAGATAAAATCCATGCCTTATGGACTTTCAAGAGCAGCAACAACTAAAATTAATTGTATATATATATATATATATATATATATATATATATATATATAACTAGGAGAGAAAATAGTGACATAATGAAGATTTTAGCCTTCCACAATACTTTAAACAAAAAGTTAGGAAGGAAACTTCCATCAATACTAGAACGAGCTATAACAGATTTTGGACTTGGGAAACGTATTTTTTTTTTTTTTTTTTTTTTTTTTTTGAAAAAACATTTAATAGAAAGATTTTATAAATTTCAGCCGAAATTTCACTGGCATAAATCCTGATTGTTTCCTTATAAGGAAACAGCTAATATTATCTTTGCCATTGCTATTACCAACTGGTTGCTTTTGTGATGAACTGATAACAAATCTCACCATTATCCTGATAATCTTTTGAGTAGCTTGCAAATTTTAATAAGATTGTCGTTGGAATTCTAATTCTGTTAGACGTAAATATTTAGTTCTTTCTGTCTGTGAAATGATTCAAAGCTCTCCGTTAAAACAGAATCCTAATATTAATATTATATTGCCCATGTTGTCAGGAAATTCAAAATATTTATCAGGCTTTTCGTTGTTTACAATTTTATTCTCTAGTGAGTTAGAACGACGACATCCATTGACATATTTTGTCTTTGTTTATAATGATTCGATCTCCTTTCCTGGCTTTATCATTATGGATATTTTGTCTCGTTCTTCTGAAAGAAAGGTCATTTTAAAAACTATCAACGCTTATAGGTCCCTCGACTCAACTCTATGATAATTTTTAAACTTGAGATAAAACTCTATAAATAAGAATCAAACACAACATAAGTCAAAATATTCTTACACCAAATCGTTTTTTCGAACTCACCACAATTCTTTATGGCAACAAAGAAGCCTGTTTGAGTAATACAGGAAACCTGGAAAAAAGATTGTTTTACATAAAGAAGATTGTATAGCTCCTAATAAAGTCACTTTATGCTTAACGACATGAGTTACGTTCCAGCTAACTGTTTTCGTTTTTCAAGTATTAATGGGAGTTCTTTCCAAACCATTTGTCCGTGAATTGAATACCACAACAATATCTGGTCTGGTGATCTTGCTCCACGACTCAATATTTTTGGCAAAATCCAAAGTAATCGACACTGATTAGGCATCTCGATTTCAGTCACTTTCTCACCGACATGATTTGGCTTCCCTCTGTCTTTTCTATAAATATTTTCATGGCACGTGTTCTGATGTGTTTTTTTCCTGGTGACCCGACTACATGAATTTAAGCCTGTTACTGGATTGGCAGCTAGGTCTCACAGTTTTACTGTGGAACTAGCTAAATGCAACCGACATTTCTATTCTAAAAGATTTTTTTCTCACACTTCTCACCTGTGTAACTCTCTTCCGATTTCCCTGATATTTAAATGCATCGCCGATCGCCATTTTCTGTCTTCTTGAAACCTGTTCTTTTTTGTCCTTTCTTCATTCCTCCTTATTCTCAGTTTTCTCATTCTCTTTCACGCCTTGTAAGCCCCCCACCACCGCCCACCCGCCCTGCGTTTTAGTGGAGCCACACCTTGCC